GAGAGAGATGCTCAGTCTTCAGAGTTTTGAGGAGAACCTAATGGAAGACCCTCCTTCCTCTCCTTGCAGGAGGAGGCATTTATTAGGGCAGAAAGCGCAGAACAGGGTTCTAGCATCCTGGGATATACAAAACTGCCATGTGGGCCGAGTCAGATAGAAATCTTGACTCCCAGTCCATCTACATACACTAGGGGTCCGTTGCTCTCTCTGGAGATTCTCAGGGCTCTTCCACTCACTTCAACCCACGACAGATCCATGACTCCCCACCCTAGAGAAGCAATTAGAGGCTTTCCACTGCTCATTCCTCTCCCCTGGTCTGTAACTGGTTCTGTTGCTTGCTCTTTGGTCACGGACCACGGAGAGGCCGGTTACAAATGTGCAGGCTCACGTGGTCTGGTTGATCAGGTAGCAGAAAAAAGACAGCCTTGGATCTAAGCTAAAGGAATCTAGATTCACAAGGGGATGTGGAGCTAGTGCGTTTGCCTGGTTTGTAGGTTTGCCAGGTTTTATATAATTCCAAGCTTTCTGACTAAACTGCAGCCTTTGCATTCCCATTTAAGGAAGTTTTTACTATGGGCATGAGAATTACCACAGGAATCATTGGTGATTGAATTCCCATTGGCTAGTGAATTGGAGGCCCGATGGCATAGTGGGTTCTGTGTTGGGCTTCTAACCACAGAGTTAGCAGTTCAAAACTACCAACTGCCCCGCAGGAAACGGGAAGTTTTCTATTCACGTAAAGAGTTACAGTCTTGAAACCCACAGGGGCAGTTCTACTCTGTCCTATGGGATCACGAGGAGTCGGCATGAACTTGATGGCAGTGAGCATATTTTAAAATTAACAAACTTTAATAATTTACTTTTTAAATTGTCATTCATAAAAGAAATACAAGCAGAATGTCCCTTATCAATGAAAGTGGTGAGATATTAATGACTTACTTTGGACATGTCATCAGGAAAGGCCAATCATTAGAAAAGATGTCATGTTTGTTAAGGTAAAGGGGCAGACAAAATGAGAAAGACTGGATGGATCAATGCAGTGGCCTCAAACACAGAAATGATCACAGAAATGACAAAGGGCAAACAATATTTTGTTATGTTGTGCACATGGTCGCTGTGAATTAGAGTTGACTTGATGGCAATTAACACAACCATGACCATCACCAACACCCCATGTCCCCCTGATCAGTTATCGTCAAGTGGACTCTGACTCATGACATCATGTGTGTCAGAGTAGAATTGTGCTTCATAGTGTTCAGTGGCTCTACATCTCTAGGCCTTTTCCCACCGTGGCTATGGGTGAACTTGACCCTCTAGCTTTCTGTTAGCAGCCAAGTACATCAACCATTTGCACCACCCAGGGGCCCTTAGCAACAACAAAAACCCTGTAAATGAACTTCTGGCATGCTGTGGGTAGGCCTTAACGGGCCAAATGGGAATCACGGCTCCAGGAGACTTGGGTCTTGTTCCATTTATGCTGTATGGCCTTTGGCTCGGTCACTGGTTTTCTCCCTCCACCTTAGTCAGTACAACAATCACAAACAAGAGTCTCAAGTTACAGACACCCCTTAAAGCTTTTCTCCACTCCCTGGGTTTGGCTATAGTCAATATCGTCATCAGAACATATAATCTGACCAAGGGGTTTTGTTCCACTCCTGGATTTTAGATGTAGTTTGGCAGTGGGTGGAAACGTCTGGGCTTCTCCAAGATTTGGTGGAGAAAAACTTTAGGATACCATTCCCGGAGGCAGTGGGAGTGGAACATGCTGCACTCCCAAGGAAAGTAGGCCTCAAGTGGAGGGTCACATATGTGTAACGATGTCAGTTTCAGTATTATTTCCTGAAGAAAACTTTAAAAACGATACCGTTACTATTCAGCTATTTACGATATTGTTGGTGTTGTCAGGTACCATTGAGTCAGTTCTAACCCATAGTGACCGATGCACAGCAGAACGGAAACCCTGCCCGGTCTGCGCCACCCTCCCAATTGTTCCTCTGCCTGAGCCGTCGTTGCAGTCCCTGTGCTGAGCCATCTCTCAAGGGCCTTCCTCGCTTTTGCTGCCCCTCGACTTTCCCAAGCATGATGTCCTTCTCCAGGGACTGGTCTCTCCTGACAACAGGTCTACAGTATGTAAGGTGAAGTCTCTCCATCTTTGCCTCCAGGGAGCCCATGTAAGATTGTATATATACTGCATGTGTGTATATGAGAGACAGAGAGAGAGAGAGAGAGAGAGAGAGAGAGAGAATGGTTAAGCAACCCGAATCAATGCAAATAATGTAACACAAAGTAGAATAAGCAATCTTTAAAGTGATCCCAATAATATGACTACAAGTATACACAAAACCATGTACTTGATAAAATAGCCAGGGAAGAAACAGCCAAAGGACCTGTCATTAATCTTAGAGAAGTGAGAGGATGAGTGGGTCCCTTTTCACATTCTCTATCTCCCAGGCTTTCAGGAAACCAGTTGTAACACTGTTGACTTGATTTTTCCCTGTGGTCTCAGAAGTTAAGTCAAAGGTCTTCTTTTTAACGAGATCATCAAGAAAGGCCAAAGACACAAACCAATCTTGGGGTCATCAACCCACTCATCCGTCCCTCGCTGCAGCCTATGAAAAGGAGACTTCAGGTTCAAGGGAGACGTTCATGAAATAGGAGTACTTGGTGTTGGCTTTTGTTCTAAGGGCCGAGTTTGGTGGCAGCCCCTTCTCTCCCAACGAGGGAGGAGAACGGACGCTCTGTTCTGACAAAGCAAAGTGCAGAAAGCTCCAAGAGAACTCTTCAGAGAGATTCAACCAGTTGCTGCCAAGTGAATTCCAGTCATGGCGACCCCATGTGTGTCCCAGTAAAACTGTGCTGCACAGGGTTTTCAGAGGAGTGTGGCATGTGCAGGCAACAGAAAGAAGGCCCGTGAGGCAGAGGGCAGGAGAGAAGCATGTGGAGATGTGCACGGGCAAACCAGGTGCCTGTGGCCCACGATAGGATTTTATTCTTTGTCTGAACAGCAATGGAAAGGTATCGAAGTATTTATAGCTGGAGGTGATGTGCTAAGACTTGAAATTTGAATAGATCATTCTACCTGCAGAGCAGGGATTTCTTAATTCTTATTATTTTATTAATTTCCCCAGAAACAGAAGATCCGCAGATCATTTCTACATTCAGAAAGTTTGCTTATGTTAATCTTTGGATGTTGACTCTGATTCATTCCATGTTTCCTTCTTTCGTTCTGTACATCACCTTCCATTCTTTCATCATCAGCATTTCTCTCTTCAACTCTGCACTCTGATAATACTTCAGTTTTGAGGTAAGACCAAGAATTCCATTTATTTTTCAAGTTCAGTGGTCATTCTGACTATGGTACCAAATTTTATTTTATTTAACTTAACTCACTTTAAAAACATTTCAGCCCATTACCTACTGATGGTGGCCTGCTATGTCTTTATATCTGGTTGATATCTGAGAACAGATTTTATGACTATGTGTCTTTCCTGTTTGTCCCTGAGCCTTTAGGCACAGCTCTTTCCTCGTGAGCTGCAGCAATTCTTTACAGTGAGGGTCATGGAAGTGATGGTTAGGACCAATTAGTGTAGCCGAATGATGGTATTTGCAATGATAATAATGCCGCGGATGCTAGTGGTGAGTATTAATATTGAGAATAATGATGCAATAGAGGAGGAGGATGGTTTGTGGTGATGGTATGTTAAGTGATGATGAGAATATAATGATGTAACAGTATGAAGAGGTTATTAGGATGCATACATGATGAAATAATGGGGTGATGATGGTAGCCTTGGGTATGCCCTCAGTAGCTGTGTACACACTTGGGATAAAGTTAGGTAAAAGTTAAAACAAGTTTTCTCCAAGGCCTCTAGGGGACTGTGTTGCTTCTGCTCTTCCTATTTAGCAGAAGGTGCTGTCCCAGCTGCCTA